GCCAATCAATTAGAGTAACTTGGACCATCCAGTTATAGCTACCCACACGGACCACTAACAGTTACAAGGTGACCACTGCTAGCCGGCACCACTGTCGGCCGCTGTCAGCCGCCGCCGCCCACTGCCCCTACCCAACTGCTCTGTCAGTTAGCCCCTCCCCTCTACAGTGGTCAGCCTCTTCAGCCGTCTCTAGCCCCAACCTCAACCCCAACGTGGCTCCATCCTCCCCACCCCCCTTCCACTGTCGGCCACCGCCAGATACCCCCCTCCCCGCTCAGTCCTCTCCCCAACTTGCACAATCGCAGCCCCACCTCCTTACCCCGCCCCGTGTAACCTCTGCATCCCACCTCCGTACCCTGCCCCCAGATCCAGACCGACCAGATGAACCCTAGCCGCCCGACGGACTCAACTCATAGGTCGAACCCTAACCAGCCGCTGTAATCGCCCCGCACGGCCGCACCTCACCTCGAATCCTTGTCCCCACTTATCGTGCGATCTAGAATTAACAACTTTGTTTGTCCCTGTATCAACAATCAATCTAACAATATATGATAGAGAAGAGAAGAACGGAGCTTGATTCAATACCAAACAAAGATTTCGCAATACAGAATATGGGTATCGAGAAACAAGTTATCGGCTCTCTCTCTCTAAGAATGATATGCGCGTGAAAATCTGTGTAAAAAGCCTCTCTCTCACATTCCCTTAAAGGCAATATTTATATGCCTAGGGAATGTGTGATGTGACCTAAGCATGATTGGGCTCTTTTATTGATTGGGCCCAATAGCACACTTTACACATTTCCTAGTAAGGCTAATTGAATAATTGCTAACAAAGATCCCAATGGGCTAAAATATCTAGACAAAGTAGCTACACAAATACAAAGATATTTATCAGGATTGGACACCATAAATATTCCTAACAATCTCCCCCTTGGTGTTCAATCATGTTCATTCAGCATTGTTGCGCAGATATCTTTGTCTTTGTGTTGATTCAGCAATGTAGAGGAGAGCTTAGATAAGATTTGTCCAGTTGCTCCTCTTTGTCTTGAACTTCAGTGCAGCTCATCTCCCTTTGTCTTTGAATCTTGGCTTCTTGAGAAGGCTTTCTGAAGAAATCCTTGCAATCTCCCCTTTGATGTCTTCTTGGCAATTTGTTCTTTGATGTCAGGGTTTGAGGAATCTTCAAAGTCTTGATTGTAGTCCTTGCCTTCTAGAAGTTGCTCTTGATCAGCTTGAATGAATTCCGACGGCGCCTTTGTAGCATGTGTTCGGTTGATTTCCAGGCGCGCATGGGATTCATCTTCAAATTTGATTACCCGACCTCTGTCTCCTTCAATGTGTAGGTGGCACAGCGGAAAAAGATTGCTTTTGAGGAGATCTCGTCGGTAGCACAGAGGAAAGAGATGATTAACTTCTGAGTATTGCTGACAATTTGATTTGAAGTTGTCTTGGCATTTCTGATGATTTTAGAGAATAGAGAGCCGTTGTATATTTTTGTGTTGGAGGAGAGAAGTGTCCAAAAATGATTTGTTGATAGTGAACAGCATGTGGACCACTAGGAGAGAAGTTTCTATAAATATTCCTAACAAACTTGATTCATCGTCGATCTAGTAGAGCTCGTGGCTGAAGAAGGGGTAGAAGAAGAACTAGATTCGGTCGCCGTTGTAGATTTGAAGCTCGTCGTCAAAGATGGCGTCTAATCAAGAGTGAAGGAACCTGTTTCCGATGGTGATGTACGATGACATGGTTGCGGACTTGCGGCGGTGAAGGGGATGTGGTGGTGCAGGGGCTTCGACAGTCCATGGTCGAAGCTGTGGAGAGAGGTTGGCAATGGCTCCTTGCTAGAGAGAAGCGGACAGTTGAGTTGCTGGAGAGGTTGGCCATGGCTCCTATTTTTGTCCTGTCAAAGTCCATAGTATTATTTTTGTAGGGAAAATGGAAACTAATAATCCAACCTTTTAGCGGTCTTCTTTCAATAATCTCACCTTTTGATTATTCATGAATAATCCAACCTTTGTACCTCATCTTCATTCATTGGTCTCTGGTCGGTTAATGACCTACTATTCCAAGTTCTTTTCTTATCTTTGCAAAATATTATCTTTGTGAAAGATGATATTTTTGGTATAATGATTTGAAAAGATAAGAAAATAGCTTGGAATAGCAGGTTATCAACCGGTCAAGGACCAGTGAATGAAGATGAGGTGCAAAGGTTGGATTATTTATGAATAACCAAAAGGTTAGATTATTGTAAGAACACTGCTAAAAGGTTGGATTATTAGTTTCCATTTTCCCTTTTTGTAATTGTTTCTTTTAGGAAAGGGTCAAAATCAAATTCTTATTAAATATTGAGATTATTAGTAAACAAATACGGAGACGCACAATTCATCTCTCTAGAACCCTGAGGGTTGGTGGTGGCGTGTTTTGCCTCTCCTCTCTTGATTCAGCAGCGACAAAGAGGACAAGAAGCATACGTACGGTCAGGGTTTCGGTTCCATTTCAGGATTGCGGGAAATAGCAGGTAATAGATTTCACGACTTTCAAAGATTCCTTGTAGGGGTATGTCCTAGCTGGACTATTCTTCTTTTCTGATTGTGTTTGTTCTGTGTTGTGTCGGTTCTTTCCTGGGCACTGGCGCTTCGGGTAGTTTTGTGACTTTTGTCTCACGCGATGTGCGAGGAGTTTTTTGGTGTTCCAGTTTCTTCGTCTAGTCAGGGGATTCTATCTGTCTTCGATCTTTTGGACTGCATAGAAAATGGTGTATCTCGTCCTCCCTCTAGAATCACCTCTGTGCTATGAAGAGTTTTGTGAAAATGCTTTATTTCGATTTTACTTTTCCTTTAGTAGTACTTTTTTTTCTTCGAGTAGGTTTGGTTTATTTGTGAAGTACCTTTGATAGGCAGTATTTCAGTTCCAATTTCAGTAGGCTTAAATATGTTCATTTTTGTGTAGCGAATCAGGTTGCTTTGTATGAGGTGACTGATTTTATGTCTATTCCTAGGGCTTACGATCAGCTATCATAACTCTCTTGAGGATATCTTGTATGATTTCTTGATGTTAATATAAAAAGTCGCTCTTTTATATTCACAAAAAGTTGAGATTTAAAACCACTACAAGAAATATTGTGGGACTCTTTTGAAAAATGGCATTTTAGTATAAAAAATAGCGGTTTGATCCCTTTTAGCGTTTTAAACTATATTCTAAAAATCGTCTAGGCGCTCCGACTAATTGATTTTCCGTCTAGTTGAATTAGTAGTCTGCCTATGGCGCTTAGTTGCCCGCCTAGAGCGTCTAATCGGCCGCCTAGGCCGTCTAGATTCGTCGAGCATTACTTCACTATTTAATTTTAATCTTCTAAGTGATATATGTACTTAACTTTAGCCATGGATATAAAGAAATGAAGTTGTAAATTAAGATAAAACTATATAGTCTGTATATATACCTAAATTTTATCATTATTTATATTTATAACATAATGAAGTTAAGTGATTAGTTATCCTATACTACATATGATTAAATGTGATAATTCTATCATTCATGTTTGTTAATGAATATGTATATATGTATTTTATACACACACAAATACTATATTATGTATCATAGTTATGCAAAAATATAGATAAAAATGCAATTTCTATGTTTCCGACTAGTCCCCGACTAGGCGCCCGCCTAGGCGCTAGGCACTGGGCTGGCGCCCGACTAGTGTTTAGCGCCTTTTAGAACATTGGTTTTAAATAAATGAAAATGATGTTTGGTACATAGTTGTCCTCTCCTAGCGGTTTTGAACCAAACCGCTAATGTGAAAACACTGCAAATAGGAATGTTTTGGGTTAGCATTTTAGAATATACCCAAACAGCTAAATTACAAAACATCTTCTAGCAACCCGCCAACGTATTCCGCTAGTCAAATCCGCTGACTGAATTCGCTATTGACAACCCGCTAACATAATCTGTCATTTGCTAACTGCTAACCACTAAATGTCGAACACGTCCATATAGAGTGATGATCATCATAGGTAGTTCTGACTCAAACCGTCGTCTGAACTTGTCTATTATTTGTAGGGCTACCTTCCAGGGAGGATTTTTTATGAAATTTTGTGAGTAAAATTTAATCAAAATTATTTGTTCTTCATGAAATATAGATTATGTCAACAAATTTTTAGTGTACAATTCAATCGAAAAGTCAGTTATATAAATTAATGAATAGCATTGTGCCAAAATGTATATAAAAATGTGGTGTTTTTCAATAATTTATTCAACTGAGTTCCCAATTGATTTTTAAGTTGAAATTTTGAGTAAATAATCTACACTTAATGAAGAACATGCTCACAAAATTTAATCAAAAAAATTCACCCATAAGCCCTCAAATAGACAAGTTCAGATGGTGGCTCCCATCACAACTACCTGAGGTGATCTTCTTATATATGTATACAATTAGGATCAAATAAAAGGAGGGCTTAACATGTGAATTCTTCTGCACCCACTTTTACCTCTACTTTTTGCACTTATATGCAACGCAATGCACTTTTTTATATTTCATCAAAAATATAAAAAAGTGCATTGCACTTTTACCCACTTGCTTACAAAAATATCACGAATTTTTGTAAACAAGTGCATTGCACTACACATAACATGAGAAAAATATTGGTAAAAGTGTTTGTGAAATATTTCACACGTTAAGCCCTCTTTTTTATTATAACTAACCCCAATACACACATATACGAGGTATATATATACACATATGCTCTCTCATATTTAGTTACCCTACCTTCCTTTTAAACATAGTTTGTTTCAATTTTCTTTTATGCAATATTTCTTACTTTGATGTTATTAGAAAACATAAAGACTCTTATATTATATCTCCTCCTCCCAATTATTTGTGGATGTCATGTTTTATACATTTCCTATTTTGATTATAGTATTCCTTGCTCCTACAACAATCTATAGGAATAACAACTTAAAGTGAATAGAATGCGTCTTTTTTCTTTAAAGAGGCGATGTTATGTTCAAATCATGTTAACTTATTTACAAAAAAATTATTTCATGTAAATTATTCTCATACAATATTTTTGAATTGGACTACTATTGAACAATAAGTAGTATACCACATAAGGAAATACAAATTAAAAACAGCTAAGCCTGGATCATTGATAGGTAAATCCATTAATTCACTTAGAGCATTACACCTAGCTAGATAGCTAGCTAGCTAGTAGATGTCCTATACATATATAAGATGTAATTTGACTACTACTCCATATTATTATTATCAGTGGGCCGGGGATGGATATATATAATTATGATTATTATTGGGGGCAGCTATTAATTATAATGTGGTAGTCGTCATCTTTAAAAAACCATCTTGTGATGAGTCATCGTAATTATTAGTGTAAGAGGAGTTGATACACCAGCCATAGTCGATGTGAGGATTAGGGTAACGAGCACAAAAATCACCGCTTCCCTTTTTGAAGCATTCTTCATTGGACTGGCATAAGTTTGGATGGTCTTCGATCCTCTTAGCAACAGACGCATGTCGAGGGGTTATGCACTGACCAGCCACCAACCCCCAAGGGATGCAACGACAGTTGGTAGAATCGCCGCATGGTGACGTCTCAAATGGTGAACACACATCACGGCCATTACATTTAGCATTTGCAATCCCTAAGATGACTTCAAAGTAAATTATTACAATTATCAACTCATGCCCATTTCCAAACATATTAAGTACGTTAGATAAGCATAGACAAAATATGTGTGTGGTGTATATACACTATGTGTACACAAACAAACTTAAGTTGTCACTTTTCTTTTTGGCCTTTTTAGGGACTCTTATGAAAAATACATACCTAATTTTGACATACTTGTCTATCATACTTTTGACAAAGAGATTACTTAAAAATCAATAAAATTTATTATGTTTAAGAACTCGTGAATATATACTTGGAATTTAATTGTGGGATGGAATATGCGCTTTGTGTATGAACTAGAAATATATTACAACATTTTTCTCAAATAATGTCTTTTTTTAAATAATGCCGGTTATAATCGTGTGCGCATTTGACAATTCACAATTCACAATTCACAAATGAACGCACTGAATTTATTATCATCATTTAATTTCTCTCATCAAATCACATTCTCATTTGATCCTACATATGTGTGCATGTGTGTGTTCATATATATAAATAAAATATACATATAACTTCATAGTTAAATAAACATAACAAAAACTATAAGAAACAAAAACAGGGAAAAGAGAAAAATTTTATACAGATCTAAAAGATATTCAGCATGTTCAAATAAAAATATGGGTCGTTTTCCATAAATTAGTTCTCTTTCACTCTAACGATAGAGATTTATTAATTACTTTTATTCCTTCTTATGAAAGAATAAGACATGTTTGTTACGTTGCTGAAAATGATTAATCATATTTGTATATATATGAAATATGTTTCTATCATGTATTCTAGAATTTTCTATTGGCAAAAGAACAATAAAAATAAAGGTACATACATGAAGTTGCGATGAACAGAGCCAAAGGAGCAAGCACCTTAAAGTATGCCATTATTGATTTGGAATAATTACGTAGACGTGTATATATATGCACTGATGGATCATGAACTTAAGATTGGGCATGACATGCATGATAGTTAGTTCATTCATGAATGAAGTGAGTGCCTATTTTATGTGTAGACACGTAGTATGTACCTTCAAACAACTTATTTACAATTTCATGTTCTCTTTCTCTATATGTTTAGAGATATTCCGCAAAAAAGATTAAAGATGCGAGGGGATCGGAGGGAAACTATAGACATTCTTTGTCATGTAATATATTGTTGCTTCCCTTCTTTCACTTGTGTATGTGTACACCTATCCATCACGAGTTCTTGCACTAAGATTGACACCTGCATTAATTAGTGCTTTCATGCATATTGCACCACCTAGTTAATAGTAGACTCATTTTATCTAAATTATTGCATTCTTTCATTTCGTTATTAATTAATTAAAGGGAAGACTGTCAAATCAATCCTTGAAGTATATTAAAAAAGTCAATTATACCCTCTAACTAAAGAAACACTCAATTAAATCTATAAACTATATAAAAACAATCAAATTTCACATCTAGTCGGTCTATTCCCGGTTAACCGGTGACTGCTGACGTGGCTGCCCATGTGTCAATTTTTGTCTTTTTTTCCCCTTCATTTTCTCTAAATTTCCCCTTTTCTTTCTCCCACCGCACCTCCCTCTTCTTCTTCTTCTTCCCGGCCCCATCTTTCCTTCTCCCCCATTTCTTTATCTCGTCTTCTTCCCACTGCACCCACACCACACCTTCTTTCCCCTATTCTCTTCTTTCGGCCCTAATTTGTAGCTGATTTTCGTTCTTCTTCTTCCTATTGAGCAGCGCAGGTAATCGGAGATGGAGAGGTGGACAGTTTGGACGGCAGGGCTCTTCAGCTTCTCCAGCGACGTTGTTGCTGCCGACCTTCATCTTCGGCACAGTACGTTGGCTCCGGGCTCCGACAGCGTAAATAAAAAGAAGAAACACTCAAAAAAAACATTGAGATTGTCACATATTTTGTCACGGACCGTAGTTAAAAAAAATCCGTGACAATTTTTTCTGTTTTGTGTCTAGCGAGTCAGGTTGTTTTGTATGAGGTGACTGATTTCTAGGGCTCACGATCAACTCTATCATAAATGTCTGAAGGATGTTCTCTATGATTTCTTGATATTAATATAAAAAGTTGCTCTTTTATACTCCATATGTCCCGAAAAGGTTCGCCAAATCGATTTTTCTTGGTCAATAACGATCAACTTTGACCAATGATATCTTTTAATACAAAATTATTTAGATTATGAAAGTTATATCAAAATGTTCCTTATTAAAAATATTTTCATAAAAGTACAAAATTTATGAATAATATAATAATATAATACTTAAATCACTGCCCAAAGTTCGTCATCATTGACCAAGAAAAGTCAATATGACGAACCTTTTCGGAGGTAGTATTAAAAAAATTGAGATTTAAAACCACTACAAGAAATGCCGTTTTTGAAAGAATGGTGTTTCAGTAAAAAAAAATAGTGGTTTGCCTCCTTTTAGCGGTTTAAATAAATGAAAATGATATTTGGTAAATAGTTGTTCAGACCTAACATTTTTTAACTGAACCGCTAAAATGAAAACGATGCAAATAGGAATGTTTTGAGTTAGTGCCCGTTTTTTAATATGGCCAAACGGCTAAATTACCAAACATCTTCTTGCAACCCGCAAACGTATTCTGCTAGTTAAATTCGCCGATTGAATCTGCTATTGACAACCCGCTAACATAATGTGTCATTTGCTAAGTGCATGCTAACCACCAAATGCATGCCAAACACGCCCATTTATGAAATTTTTTGAGCAAAATTTAATCAAAATTATTTTCAACCAGATGTGGTAGGCAACACCTAAATGGTCACAAATAATAGATGTAATAAAAAATCAAAGAAATAGCTAAAATTGCATGATCTCAGTTGGCCTTACCTTAATGGCTAATGCAGTATTGGGTATTGTTTCTAACCAGATGACTTGGGATTTCTAGATACATTAGATAAAAAAAACATTGAATTAAACTTTTGTGTTGTGCAGATAAAGTAATTGGGGTGTTTTCCCAAAACACGGGAAAAGCTAACAATCGTTGCCAAAATGCGGGAAAAGTTTGTTTTCTTCCTGTCTGAAGAGCCAATTCAGACTAGAGAGCAATTTTGTTTTTTTTTTTAAATTCCGAACTATTTGTTTATTCGAAAGTATTTGTGAATTCCCGAATATGTTTTTTATTTATTTTTAGATTCAGTCGAAATTGTTAATTCCGAATAAGTTTTTTATTGATTTTTAAATTCTTTGAGGAATTGTTAATTTGAAAAAGTTTTTTTAAAATAAAGTCAGTTTTTTACAATTTTAAAAGTAATACCGTTTAGTAATATTAAAAAACGTAGTTGGGATTATTCTGTAATAATCAATAGTTGGGATTATTATGAACGGACCGCCAATAGTTGGGATTATTACTATCAATTTTTCCTATGTAATATTTCTGTCAAAGAGTATATGTAAATTGTTATTTTAAAAATAAATTGATTTTTTGAATAACAAAACATTGGTGAGTTTATTTTATGTTTTAATCCATCGGTATTGTGAATTACGTAGTATAAATGTATAATCATAAAATCAAATAACAATTTGATTTTGTTTAAAATGCAATTTTTGTAATTGTAATGTAAGTGAATAGTTTTCAATGTAATTTATTACTCCGTAATAAATAGATAGATTGTACATACAATAATAAACTTAATACTACAATAATAAACTTAATACTACATCTAACATTGCGTGCTCGGCCCTGCCATGTCCCTGCCGCCGGTGTTCCAAACCCCCGTTGTGTCTTCATAAGTGGAAACATATGCATCCGACTGTGTAGAGTACTGATAAGAACCATAATACGTCGGTGGTTCAAAAAATGGGAAATCTTGATGCGAAGAGAATTGAGGGGGCGGTTGTGATTCCTCACCCCAACCTTCAACTTCATCTGCATTACCCTCTTCCTCATTTCCACCGTCACCTGCATATTCATCTCTATCTTCATCAGCGTGACCATGTCTACGATCACGGGTGGGAGCATTTCTTCGTCGGTGTGGCCTACGACGAGGGACATGAGCGGGCTCCTCTTGTGCATCCGGGTAAAGGAATACGCCATGGTGGAGCATCTCTTCATTACCTAATTCCAGGGGCAACCGCTCAAGCCGTTCTTTTACGTCCTCATAACCTGCCCTGTTGGCGAGCTGATACACATCGTGCATGCCCTGCTTCTGCATACAAATGTAATACGTGTAAATAATATGACACAGTATGTTAATGAATATCATATGTATTTAATAACTGACCATAAGGCCCCAATCGCGTGTTGTCGGGGTGTAGCCTATCGCGGGCGCAACATGAGAAGGGTTCCTGACACGTATCATCCCATGCAGCGAGTACCATCTTCGGTACCTATCGGTCGCTTCGAGATTCATTTTTTGTTCATAATCCAGGGCGTATACATGATTATGTCGGTCCGCCCACCATGTTAACACAGATGATGATACAGCGGAACGACTAGCGTGATGATCATTCCCCTGCTCAGTGTCTTTCGGAATATCTTGCATTATATGGAACTGCCGAAGAAATCGATCGGGGTAATGCCTTTCAGTCATATTGCAAAATACGAGCATCCCCTCATATGCCCAAAGCCGAATGGCATCAACACAGATTTGTGGGAGTGCGTCGAATGGGTAGGGAAAGAAATCAAACTGTAAATTGTAAATGTAACAACTATAAAACAATGGGTACTGAAAATTGAATAGTACGGTTGAAGTGTAAATTCCAACTGCTACCTGGCTCTCAGTCATGCGGTCTAAGAGGTCCCGGTACAAGCGTACGCTGTTGAGGTCCCGGGGTAAAGCCAAGTCATCCTGCAAGAGCTCCAAAAAATACAATCTTATTCTGCTCAAACTCGTGTCAGGGAATAAAAAGCCTCCCAATAATTGCCATATTATGACCCTAGCGTGCTGGGTGACCTCTTCGTCTGTACTATGAGGTAGTATTGGGCAACGCATAACACTACTCATAACAATATCTGATGTGCGCAAACCGGTCTCTTGAGGAGTGAAACCAGCCGACTCCGTGCACATCTCGATCCACCGATCCTTTGTATATACAGTTGGACCACTGAGGTTGATATTAACTAGTAGTCTACTTCTTGATAAATAAGTACTACGTATAAACTAATTAAGTTTGTGCGGTTGATATTAATTGATAAAATAAGAATAAAGTAAGAATAAAGTAAGAATAATTTTGAGCCACACAAACTTTACCAAATAAGGTACGACCAGACCAGACCAGACTTGGATAGTTATAAAAATACAAAGAAACCAGACCAGACCAGACCAGTAAATTACAGTCCAAGCAAAAACATCCTAATAATCATCATAATAAAATATAAAACATTAATAAACACTATGCACTATTATTATATTAATAACTGAAAGTATTTATATAACATTAAACTTTTTAAATAAGCATCATAGTTGTATTTATTGTCAATTTAGCTAACTACTAGTCTACTACTTGATAAATAATACGGAGTAATGATCATCATAATAAAATATAACAACATTAATAAAGACTATGTACTATTACTGTATTAATAACTGAAAGTATATACTTATATAACATTAAACTTTTTAAATAAGCATCATATTTGTATGTATTGTCAATTTAACTTAAAATACATTTTATATTTTGTTAAAATTTGTATATTTCAGAGTAATAATTTAATTTCTATGTTGACCGAGTTTTCTGGCGTTGACCGGGTTGACCCGACGATTGACCTGCTAGGTCCGGGTTGACCCATGACCCGCTCATTCGGCCGGGTCACTTCCCGATTCGGTTTTTACAACATAGGTCACTAGTATTGAATGTGTTCTTGTTTAATTGAATGAGTCCTTAATTATTTTTTGAGACACGTAATGTACTACTACGTATTATTTTAACTCGTGTAATGTACTATTCTTTAAACTAGTGTAATGTACTATTATCAAAACACCTAAAAATAAATTACCGGCACATGATAAATACAGTGAACTAGTCTTATGTGATAAATTTGTACCCGTTTAATTTTTATTATAGATCGAGGGGTCAGATCCGCACTTAAATTAAACTATTAGAAATTTTATGCAATTCATACAATTTGCTCCTCTATTACTTTATTTTAAAGGTCTCGTTGATAACTTTTTATTTTAACTATTCGATCACTATATAACATTTAACTATTTATTAAACTATTAACAATAAATGTCAACACATAAAACCAATTCATTTCAAATTGTATTTAACATGAACAATACATACCTGGAGATTCGAAGTTCTGAAACGTTTGGGGCTTGTTCCTCCGGCCATATATTGATGATGGACCCCTTCCGCTATTTTGAAGCATAGCATTATTATTTGTAGAAGCTTCATGGAACGTCACATTTTGTGACGGGGCTGGTATAGCTTCCGCGTAAATGTGCAATTCATCGTACTCATTTCTAGCAATCTTGAAAAAATGAGTCCATGTCTTCTCATCGTGAATGGGCCATAGTCTAGAAGCTACATATACCGAGTTCTTATATTTCGGCAATTTTCCGTGAATTAATTTAATTTCGGAAAATCCCTCACTTCTAACATGGTTTAGAACACTCTCGTATATACTGGTAAAATCATCCTCTTCGGTGATGAATAGTACCGCCCTAGGAGGAATGGAGTACTCTATTTCATCATCTTTTTGAAATGTAGAGCCATTCCAATGAACCATAACAACAACATTACTCTCACTAGACATTTCTATATACGGTGGTATATATTAAATATATTAAGAGAGAAAAAAGTTTTTTTTTATTGTGATAAAATTTGAGGGTGGGGAATGGGTTTTATAGGACAAATGAGCAACCATATTAGGTAAAAGTTTTGGTTTAAAATTGAACACGTATACACTATACATTTTGACTTTTATTCTACTTGGAAGCACCAATTCGGACTGGAGTAAAATGGAATCTCGGTTCACATGGTTTTTGGATTGAAATTATTGTTGCATCTATATTTCAAAAATTTAATTAAAAAAAAGGAACATTTAATCTTGTCGGATTAGCCAATTCCAACGACCGGAAAATTTAATTTAAAAAATAGGATCTCTCCTTGTCGGATTACCCATTTCCGACAGGAGGTGGGAAATGCGAATTTAAACCCTAGCATCTAGTCGGAACCCCCAAATAGGACGCCCGTGAATTCAAAACCAAAACTCCCGTATTTTGTAATTTACTCAAGTAATTGAAAGCAATAAGTTTGTGATGATGTTATAGGGCAGAATACTTGGATCAGCCAAATTAGCAAGGTTGTCTTGCTGCACCACAAGGATATACTCCGTACTCTTTACCCTGTAGATAAAGTAAATCCATTTATTACTCACCACCTTACCCTCACATATTTGGTAGGAAAATGCTTACTATACATATATTGTACACAAAGTGTAGAAGGTATAAAAGCCCATTTTTTATTTTTACCTTTTTTCACCTTCAGTCTCTTTCCTCTTTCTCTACCCTCTTTATGCAAACTTCCCCTCTCTCCTTCGAGTCTTCTTCTTCTTGCCTCTTGGCTTTCTTTTTTTCTTCCTTTTTTAATTAATTCATTAAAGGGAAAGTTCCCGAAATGGGACTAAAAAAGTTTGAAAATTCCAAAATAGGACTGTCATGTTTTTATTCCCAAAATAGGACTAATTACTGCCATATTTGGAAAATACTGCCATGTTTGAAGTCTGGTACTGCCAAAACATGGCAGTAATTAGTCCTATTTTGGGAATAAAAACATGGGAGTCCTATTTTGGAATTTTCAAACTCTTTTAGTCCCATTTTGGGTAATATCTCTTCATTAAATGAAATAGAATTGAAGGGAGCATTTCACATGAAGCAAACATTTCAAGGGTGCGCCATCCATCTCCATTATCAATTTCAAAGGTGGGTCTTCAATTCAAACCCTAGTTTTTAATATTTAGATCTGTCTTTGGAATTATGAATATACAACTTTTCTGTTCAGATTTGCAAATTGTCATCCCAGGTAATCGCTCTTAGTGCTTTAATTTTAAGAAAAATTGATAGTTCGATTCTTGTTCTAAGTTTATCCCAGTTTATAGCGCCCAATTCGATTACATTTTAGATTATCTAAATTATGTTTTTCTTGGTCCGAAAATTTTGCAGAAATGGTAATTGACCAAACAAGTCCAAAATTGGAAACCTAAAGGTATTTATGGGGTTTTAGATGAAAAATTATGAAAATGATATGTGTTGAAGGGGGGCTGTGGGGGTGAAGACATTGACCAGTTGAAGGGTGGAGGTAGTGGTCGTTAGGTTGCTTAAAATAGTGAATTATTTAAGTTAAGTAAAAAAGAAAGTTCTCGAGTCTTGCATTTGAAGAAAAATAGGATTTCCCTTTATCTATCTTTACATTTAGAAAATCTATTGAACATTTAATTTCCTAGTACTTTGCTGTTTCACTACAATTACTCCGGAAAAAACCAACATTGCCTCTATACAGTAAAAGTGACATTTTTATGTAATATACTAGTATTTTTATCCGTGCCATGCACGGGATAAAAGTATATTCAAGTTCTAACACATAAATTGATTGTGTGTATGTGTGTGTTTAGTATGCTAATTCGTATATGGGATTTTAGTTTTTAAAGTCCCCTTTCAAGTGTAGTCATATTAGTTATGTTAGTGTGTATTTCGTTCACTTTAAAACATATAAGATGCATTTTGTTAGGAACATTTGTATGAAAATAAATGAAATGTTTTTATTTGTACATTTAATTGCATATATTAGTAACATATTATACACACATAAAATGCATCGTGCACCTTTCCATTCTAACTATATATATCATCTTCCCCTTTTGAGTGTCCAAAAGACTTTACTACTTTCACTTTTAATCAGCTAATTTACGTTTTAATTCTTATAATTTTTTCTATCTATTATACAAATCTCAATCATACAATTTTTATATTATTAATTATTTTATGTTTCCACATACTGGCCAAACTTGGCACAATTATATGAGACAGAGAGATCAATATTAAGTACTCCCTAGCAAATCCTTTGGATCCAAATTTACTGCCCAAATTAAAGTAGCACTGAGTTATATTAACCGCATGTTAGTATAATTTTGAATGGTGTTTTCTTTCTAATTTATCAATTCATTTTAATTATATAAACCTATTTTTCTAAATAATTTAACCACTTCATGTAACAAACACTATATTATTGTAGATTGTTTTCAGAGTAATTAATTATGAATATTATTTTTTCTTTTTTAACCCGGTAAGCAAATCACCAAAATCAGTGAGCAAATGTCGGAGAACGTAACATTTACCAGAATATAATAAATATTGAGGGAGAGTACAATAAAGAGAGGGGGATACATTAAAGGCCCAAACCTCTCTCAAAATGGCATCCCAATTTGAAAATACACAAAAACACTTAACCACAAATACTTGCATTATAGAGAGACATGCTATAAATTAAGCACCAAACCCTTAAGAGCCCGTTTCGTAACTCTAAAATTTATGAAGTTCTGATTGAAGTGGCTGAATTGTCTTATTATTTTAATTTATGAAAAAATTATATTTAAAATGTTTTTTTATTAATACAAATAAAGGAAAATAGTTAAAATGGTCATCTACAGTAACTCCAGCCAATGCATCCACAAAAGTAAGTTCAACCATACTTTTTCTTATTATTGCACAATTTAACGCGCAAAATTAAAAGTTACGCTTTTGATAAATTGTTAATTGATATGCCTGATAAGTCGAAAAACGAGGTCACCAAATGTGCTTTATGACTCATGCGATTAAAATCCCACCTTATTATTATGATCAACAATTATTACTATTATCATTATTACTATTATCATTTCTTATGTGTTATCATTAATTGCTACCTGCGTAACATTTGCATCTTCCCGGTTAAAAGTAGGTAAGATTAAGAATAGTGAAAGATGATATAAATTATTGAGGGTATGATGGGAAGATAATATAATAATGTGTTGGAATGAAGGGTAAATTCCAAAAAATAGTTGTAATAGTGTATTAGTTTTAAAATTATTGAGGGTATGATGGAAAGATTTAGATATGAGAAGATATGAATGTTACGGCCAAAAAAAAAATTGGGAAGATATAAATGTTACGGAAGGAATAATAAAAAAAGATATCACCCATCTCCGAGGGCCCCCAGAACCGACCAAACAATTATCTGGAAGGATGTAATTTGAGTTTTGATCAGGCTCTGATAGAAAGAGATTGAGGTTAGGTTCCATCCTAGGTCATTGTACAAAGTTGATCTCTCTTGTGCTACTCTCTTTCTACCATGTGAGCTACGTCCCCCAAATATATTATTAATTAACAAAACATCATGTGTTGTTGTTATGGTTATTATCGATCACGATATTATTACTACACCATACTATTTTATTAATGATTAATGATCTGTTATTGCTATTTATATTTATATTTATATTTATATGTTACTATTATATATAAATAGAAATGAAAGTGGTTGGTATTTATAATTTAATAGTTACGGTAATACTATGTAATATAATAGAGTTTATAGAAATTATTCTAAATAGGAGTAAAACTACGATAAAAATCTAAAATAGGACTCCTTATGTTTTTATTCCCAAATAGGGCCAAATTACTCCTATTATAAACATAAGGAATTTATCATTCCATTATTGCCCCTGCTTTGTTATCCAATGCATCCACACCCCCAAAACACATCTGGATAATTTCTTCTCTCCATCGCACCGCATAACACATCGATCAATTTCTTCTCCCCCTTCGGCCTTCGCACAATCATCTCTCCTCTTCTTCTCAATCCTCATCAGATCGATCGATTCAAACTGCCCTGCATATTACATCGTTTTCATCTCCGACCTCATCCCTTGCCACCGACATTGCCGACAACTCCACCCTGCACACGCCGCCGTCTGGTCAGTTTTCATTCTTCTTCTTCCTCTTCTTCCTCTTCTTCCTTCTCCTCTTCCTCTTCCTCTTCCTCTTCCTCTTCCTCCTCCTCTTCCTCTTCCTTTGAAATTGATTTTTCTGATTTTTCTTCCATTCATCTTTTTTTTTTGCTCTGAAATTCGATTTGTTGATTTTTGGTCTTCTGTTTTGCATTTCCGTTTTCAAATTTTAGTATTTTTAATGAATTTCAAGTTTCCGGATTTTTAAATGATGGAATAAAGTTTTGCCAAGTTTATGGAAAAAATGAACACACTGACTATCGTTTTTGGCAGAACAGATTTTTTGTAAATCGGCTTATCTAATATTTTGTCAATAGCTTCGTAATTTTGTTTTTATTGTGTTAGAGTGTTTCTTGCATTCAAAAAAATTATTTTTCAATATTTGGTTGGTATTTCATATTTTTGCCAAAAGTATGGCAATTTGTGGTGTTTTTCCAAGATAAATCTGCCACTTTTTGGCATATCAGTCAAATCTGCCAACTTAATATTAATGGCAGATTTGCAATCAACCTTCAAGCTAAATCTGCCAACTTAATGGCAAATCTACGACACTGGAGTTGTGACGGCGGCGGTGCTCAGAGGTGAGTGGTGGCCCCGAATTTAACATTGGCGGCAATGAGGGAGTTGTGACGGCGGCGACGGATGGCAACACCAGTTGGGCGGCGGTGATGATGTAGGGTTGCAGCAGTTGGTGGCGTCGGCAGATAGCGCCGGCGAGGGGTGGCGGTAGATGGCGCCGGTGGAGGGTGGTGGTGGTGGCGTACGGTAACGCCGGTGTGGGAAGCTGCATCTCCAATTTGGCTAAATATTTTTGTGGCGCAGGTGGAGCGTAC